TCCATCATCCCCCCCAACACCAACTCGACTACCAATCACTGAACGTTCCACCCCACCACCCCCCCCTCACAAACAACTTCACCATTCCCACACTCTCCCGACCATCCCCCTACCTATCGATTTCGGGGAATGCACCGACCCTAAACGAGGGATCAGGAAGTGTAAAGGACGATAGGCCACCTCAAAAGGCTAAGGATCGATAAGAGAAAATTTTGACTCCTTACCCCAAATCCCAACCCCGACCCCCTGCCCCTCACCGCCCCCTTTCCTACCAGTCTCCTCAACATCTACCGCTCCCTGACTCCCCCCCCCACACCCTAGCTCCTCGCCCATCTCCCTACCGTCCGCCAGCTTTCCCTTGCTGCTCAACACCCAACCCAACTCCTCCCTAAGCCGGCACATCCACCGCTCCCCGATTTCCTCCCCACACCCCGTCTCCTCGCCCATTTCCCTACCGTTCGCCAACTTCCCCTCCGTCTCATCCCCACACTCTCCCGACCACCCCCCAACCAATCGATCCCCCACAAACAACTTCAACATCCACACACTCTCCCGACCACTCCCCAACCAATCAATCCCCCACGTCAGCACTCCACAACCATCTTCTACCTCGTTAACACCCATAACAGTTGCATGTCATCACCCATTCTTTTATTATAATATTCATTTATTGAAACTGATGAATACATTATTGCCGTTGAGGATTCTCGCACACCTCTGGATTGAATACTGACCTGCTCCATTGGATACTCTCCTTAAAACCTCACGATTCCCAGGAGGAAAATGAGGGTCAGGCAAAAGCTCTCAGCTTTCTTACGGACAAGGGCCTGATCGCACGTCCCCCAGGTGGGGAGGCATATCCCTGTCATTTCCTCTGCTAAATTCGGCATTCAGGATCAGATACCACGCTCCCCAGGCGGTGAAGAAAAGCTATGACTTTATGCTCTCAAATCTTTCTGCTGAACTCGCCTCTCGGAAGTTAAAACCCACGTTCCCAGGGAGGGGAGGCGAAGCTCTGTCAAAATTCTTTGTCTAACTCACAACTCTGATTCTGATCTCACGATCCCCAGGAGCGGAAGCGAAGCCCTGTCAGTCTTACTCCAGCATCTGCCTCCTTAGATCCGACTTCTAGCTCCCCGGGTGGGGAGGCGAAGCTCTTTTTTGCCAAGAGTAACGTCCCGGCGGTTGATCTATCATCTCAGCCCACTCGCCACTCCATCGCTCAGCAGGGGGGAGGATAGTAGTCCAGTAAAATTTTCTCTCGAGCGACAATGGTGTTGTCCGTCAGAGTTTTATTGCCCCCAGGCCTCATTTGGAATCCACAATCACAAATCAGTCCCTCACAATCCATCATTCCTCTCCCCAAAACACAAAAGTTGTTACCAGATCACAAAACAGCCCCTTCCCATCATGGCAAACGCACAAACTCCAACCCCGACACCGGCTACCCCCACAAGAACAGGCCCAGCCCCAGGCTCAACCGCTATCTCAATCTCAGTTTCAGCCACAGGCTCAACCCCAGGGTCAGGCTCATCTTTTGATTCAGGAACAGACTCGAGAAAGATGCGATTCCAAAGCGAACATGACCCAAGTCAGGAGGTCCTAAAGAAGATGATCAACGAAACAAGCATCAAACCCAAATTATCAAAGGAAATC